TCAAACATTGTGATTACATTTTGTGTAGCAAACTGTCTTATTCCTAAAGAAAGGTAAAGTTTTATTGTATGCTTTTTAAATAAAGCCCCAAGGCAACAAAAATAGATCTGCATTTGTTACAATATCTTCTGATATTTGTGTTCAAGCACACTGAAATACTCTGAAGCCTATTCTTGTCTTGAATGTTTTATAGCCAGTAACAAAGGCATTATAACTCCAGGGTAGACAAAATCAATAAGTCTCATTAGGTTTTAAAAACAAGTTGATGTTAACTACTTCATGTAGCTGTTTTTTTAAATTTTTCTGTGGGTTGCTGGATGTGGTTTTTTTAGTTCTAAAGAGTGAAAAAGTTAGCATATAAATCAATTTTATTCAGCTCTTTTAGCCATTAAAAAAGAAATCTTCAGTGCAGTGTTATGTAGCAATTTTATTTTTTAAAACAAGATCAATGGAGTATGACATTTGAGGTTTTCCTAGCAAGCTAGTTTTAAAGAATAGAGAAATTTGCACAAAACAGTAATTTTTCTATCACATCTATGTTTTGCATAGATGTGTGTTTTAGAAGTTGTTGGGTAAGCTGAGATTGATCAAATAGGGCTAAGACCTCCTGTTTAATAGGTTTTCCCCCTGCTTTACATGTGTTCCAGGCTCAATTTTATACTTTTAATGAGAGAGGTAGCTTCCCATATATTTAGCCATGTCGAACCCTCCTGTAACCTACTCCAGCCTGTTTTTCACTGCTAACTGCTGGATAGCTCAGTAGTATATGTATCTGACCATAGAACCAGAGGTTGCAAGTTCAGTTCCTCTCTTGGCCTCTTTGACAGGGGCTGGACTCAATGATCCATTGGGTTCTTTCCAACTCTGTAGTTCTAAGATGATGGTGATGATGATGATGATGATCTCCAAAGAAATAGAGTGCAGTCTTATCCTGCCGTCCTAAGAAGCTAAGAAAGCTAAAGCCCAACTGAACCAGGACATAGCCAGCTGAAGTTGTGTTGACCCCAACCCCTTTCTGATCTGGGGAGTTGGTATTGACTTATGTTTGCCCTTCCCTAATTTTATGCTGCCACTGAGGCTGTTTTTCCAGGCTGGAGGAGGTTTAGATCTGATGTAACACTACTCCTTCTTCTCTCTTTCCCCCTTCTCTGCCGCTCTTTCAGCTTCTCTTCTAGCTAGTCTTGGCAGAGACCATTTGGGCAGGCTGGTCTCTCAACAGATCTTTGAGATGAGCCAGCAAAAAAAGGGTTCTGCAATGCTTGTTCCTACTCCTTATCACCAACGCAACAGTTTGGACTGCACTTCCCATCTTTTAATTTAAAATGACCGTCAAACACCTTGCACAGTACATTTGAAGTGTTAAAACTGCCTCTCGGAGTACTTGTTTTTCTCAAAAAACATTTTTTTAAAAGATTTTCTTAACATATTTTTGTAGACAGTTTTGCATGCATTTTCCCCATTAACTAAAGTGTGTGTATTTTTCAGACCTGCGTTTCTAGCTCTATGCTTCCCTCCTTCCCCAAACTCATATATTGTTTGAGGTGCATTTTTCTTTCCTGAAATACACTCGAAACTTCAGAAATGCACAGATTTTTGAGACCAGGTGTACTCATCCCATCGTTATCCTCAGAAGGCATTAAATGGTGATTTTCACCACGAAATGTGAACCCAACAAAATCTCTTTCACATCACTGCATTTGGGCAACTCAGTAGCTGGAACACAGATCTGTCTGCCACCATTTTCCATTCCCATTGCTAACCTGCTTCCTTGCACATTTCCAGGAATGAGGAAGGGGGGGTCCCCAAATCAATGCTGCTGACACTACACACACAGCCCAAACCAGCACCTTTTAAACTGTTTTCAAAATGAAGATGAGAAAAGTGAACTTTAAAAGCACCTGCATTCTCGCATATATTGCTGGAATCGTAAGGCCCTCCCTTCTTCCTTTCTGTTCCTCAGCTTTATTTCAAAATGCCTCTTCTCAAATTTTGGCAAAGTCTCTAAAACTTGGGGCCTGCAATTTCTTGGGGGGGGGGTCTGCAAGCTTATTTTGACCTCCCTAGACCTTTGTAGGCCAGTCGCTTCCACGTTCCAAAAAGAACATGACTTTTGGCCCAAAAAGAGCCCAAAGGAGATAACACATGGAAAGCCAATTGCAGTTTGCCATCATGGGAAATATAAGAAATTCTTTTGGGATTTTAAAAATCAAGGAGTGGAGACGGTCTGGGAGAATGTGTGGTGGGGAGTATGTTGAGAACGCTGGTAGCTAAATGCAGACTGAACTTTTCCTACCCTTGTTCTGAGCAAAAGGAAATGAATTACAGTAGTTACTCACCTTGGTCCATTCAGACAGAATGGAAATCAAGCAGGGTTGACCCTGCAATTAGACACATTGTGGTAGCCACTTCACACTGGTTCTGTGTCATTAAACAGCAGTTATTAATGTATTGCTATAATTTTACTGCTGGCTTGTGGGAGAAGTGTGTGTTTGATGGGTTTTCTGCCTCAGGTGGCAAATAAACATGGCTGGAAATGGACACAACCACATCTTGATGTTTGGGAGGGGGCCATGTTCTCTTCCATCTCAGCTAGATGTTTTGAGCTTGGGCCCGGACACAAGCTTAAAAGCTAGAAAATAAACAAGTTGTTTGTTTTCTCCACAGGTATATGAACAGGATGATCTGAGTGAACAGATGGCTAGTTTGGAAGGGCTAATGAAGCAACTGAATGCTATCACAGGCTCAGCCTTCTGAAAGCTTTGGATGAATCGATGAATGGAGTTTCCCAGGAACATTGCAGCATACCAGCATTTCACACATACCACCGCCCAAAGCCCTCATCTGCCAGAAAGCCAACCAACACACCCTCTGAAGCTGTCCTTAAAAAAAGGATATCTCACAGTAATGAAACAACATTGTGGGTTCATATGGACCGACGAGCAACAGTTTGAAACACAGGTGAAAGAGCACCACTGAGAAACAACAAGAAGAAAAAACACATCCGCACAACCACCAGGATCTGCTGGTGGCTGACTTTATTTTTCTGATCATAGTAATGCACAGGTGGGGTCCTCGTTATGTCCTGTTCCACATATGATCCTATTACTGGCACCCTTTGGCTGTTAATGACTCATGCTGGCATCATCACGCCACATGAGAGTCATTGCCAGTTGTGTCTGAAGTGAAATTCAGAGGAAAAGTAGTGGTAGGGGTTGTTCTTCAGAGGTCCTTGTATAACCTTTTGAAGAAAGCCAAACGTGGGTCAAAGAATTAGCAAGATTTCTTTTGGGGGGGATCTACTGATGTGTAGCTTTATATTAATGATCCAGTGTTTTAAAATGGGACTTTTTCAAACTCAAGGGTCTCTTCACCAAACTGCTAATATAACGCAAGCTTACAACTTAGACATGCCTATAACGGACTCATCCCTGGGCCAGCACTCCTACTGCTAGCATCCATCCATTCCACCAGTCCTCGGACTTTCTCAAAACTTACCCCTGTGAGGAATGAAGGCCCAGGGCCAAAAGGACCTCATGGTGACAGTAGAGGCTGTTGATTTCAGGCCTGATGTTTTTTTTTCAAGGTATCCATGAATGCCACAGATTTTGGCCCAAAGAAAGTTTAAATGTCTCTCAGCTCCTCAGAATTAATATATGCTCTGCCACCAATGTCCAGGCAGTTGGGTTGGGTTGGGGTTGGGTTTCCAGGGCAGGAGCACCCCATTCGCCAAGGATAAAACCTAAAATGGGAAGGAAGCAATGGGGCATTCTTTATGATGCCACAGAGTCAGGGCAGAGAAAGGTTGTGGGCCCGATCTGCTTGCTGAACTGTGCTGCCTCAAAAACAGAGCAGACTCACTTTACCAGTCTTTATTGCCCTTTCAGCAAGGTTAATTTTCATCCTCCCCTCACAAAGATAAGTTTGAGGTAAGCAATGAGATTTGGAGAGCACTGGACTGGTGCACCAGCATAATTAATTCAGCAGGCTTTTGGAAGGAGGGAAGGGGAAGAATTTTCTGCAGTTAGATCTTAAATAAAACTTTTTAAAAAATCTAAACAAATCATGGGCTGAGCTAGAGAAGAGCTGGCAGACCACAGGTTGAGACAGGATTCTTTTCCTAAAATGAAATCTGATACAGACCTGCATTTCCTTTCTCAGACAACAGACAATACAACAATACAATAGGACCACCGTATCCGTGGGTTCACTACCTACAGATTCGCTTATCAGCTGCTTGAAAATACTGTATCAAATAAAAGCCCCCAGAAATGCACCTTTCTAAGATGTATTAACAGAACTGACCACTAGAAGGAACCAGAGACGAGGCTGTATGTAAGGTTTGCTAGATTTGCAATTTCTGCCATCTGCATGGAGAGCTTGGATTTTATTCCTCGTGGATACAAGGGTCCTACTCCCCTTGCAAAATTTCTCCATGTTTTTTCTCTCTGTTACTTGCCTAGTTATATGCTTTGGGGAAGTACTATTTCTGCTTACATGAGTTTTATTCATACTGTATTAACTGCACTGTGCTAAAAATTGGCCAAGCTATGTGACTGGCATCTCGCACAAGAGAATGTTTAGCCACATGAGAAAGCAGCCAGATATCTGGATTTCCCAGTGACAATATTGGCATGGTAGGAGTATTTGGGATGAAGTAAAGGCAGCTTTTTTGTCTTGCTAGAGAAGCTTGTTGTTTTGTTGTGTAGACCATACAAGTGCATTGTAACACACTTTTCAGGCCATTGTGACAAATCAAATGTAATGTTTAACCCTGCTTGAACTCCCCCTTCCCAACTGCAGTGCAAAAAAAAATATATCACTCTATAGTGCCAAAGGGTATTCTAAACAGCAGAAACCATGACAATAAATAGGAATAATGTTCTTTTTAAAAAGACAGGTATTTCAAGGGTTTCCCCTTGTGCAACTGGTGGAGCCATTGGTAAAGAAAAATTGAACACCAAGGAAGCATGTTTGCAGATTTCCCGGTAGTTAGAAGTATGGATGAAATGGCAACTTAAAAAAAATTAATTTGCAAGAGTGGCAGAAAATGATTGCATAATATGATTATGATTGCATAATATGCAATCATTTTGTTCAAAATCTAGGAAATTACCAAGGAAGGAAACTTCAATGGAACAGGCTGAGCTTTGCCATTATTAGGCAATGCATGGAGCTTAGAGGAGAAACCAGGGGCTGTATCCTAAGAATTGTTGTGCCGAGCAAATGCATTCCTAGAACTGGTGATGGAGTCATTTTGTGAATTACATCATTTTTGTCACCCCTTGAGGCTGTTATCCCCAGGGCAAATATTTGGAAACAAGGTGCCAGGACGTTAGGGGAGAAAGTAAAGTCCTCTTGTAACTGATGGTTGTTGTGGGTTTTTCGAGCTCCTTGGCCATGTTCTGAAGGTTGCTCTTCCTGACATTTTGCCAGTCTCTGTGGCCAGCATCTTCAGAGGACTTTACCAGCTCTACCCAGCCACAAGGACCAGGGATCATTCCACAAAAAAGACCAGCTAACGACAACCATCAATCATAGTGACAAATAATCTCTCCCCCTTATCACAACAAAAGCATGCTGATCACCCTATCTCCTGAAAGGACAAAAGCTGTTCCCACAGCTATAAATACTCAACTATCCAACAAACAGCAACAGAGCACGGGCAGAGTTCCTACTCCAGTCCTCTGAAGATGCTGTCCACAGAGACTGGCGAAACATCAGGAAGAACAACCTTCAGAACACGGCCAAAGAACCCGAAAAACCCACAACAACCATCAGATCCCGGCTGTGAAAGCCTTTGAGAATACTGTACATCCTCCTGTAACTCTTTTTATATTGGCCAGGGAATGAAAGCAAAATAGGTCCACATCATTTACATCATGACAGTTTGCATGGAACATAAATGAAGCTTTCTGAAGTATTACCTCCCTCTCCCATGCCAGTTTTCTGGCATTTTACTACCATGTTTTATCCCTCAACGTCTTGAACTGGTGGCATGAACAAAATGTGGCTGCATCCTTCAGCCCATGCTTCCTACCTCCATTCAGAGTTAATCCCTGTTTTTGCAAGCAAAAAAAAATCACCAAAAGTAAGCTAAATTTGCATATTTATCAGTTATGAAGCTGCAAAAACCTGGTGAGAAGGTTTCAGCTGAGTTACCACATTCAGCGCTGTCTTTGATTTCAAGCCTGAATAGGTCATAATTTTAGAAGAGCATGGAAAGGCGAAAGGATCTCTACATCCTAATAGCTCTTTTTATTAGGGAGGTAATTATATGTGAATTCCTGAATAAAATATTTGGAATGAAATGGCACAGCATCAGAAGTAACAAATTGAGTATTCCTCTATCCCAAAAGCTAATCTCATATTGGGTAGCAGATCAGAGCCTGAAGGGAGAATTCAAACACTTCATTAGAAATGCTAGCATACCTGAGAAAGGGCCCCTTCCCCTCTCCAAATAATGCTATTTATTTAATTTAATCTGGAATTTTAAGACAGCATTTTCTAATAACTTCCGTGTATTCTTTAGCACGAGGGGGCTAAGCTTGTAATGTTCTAACTAACTGAGGATGGCATTCAGTTGTTTTGATAATGCACAGCTTAGTGTCTTACTCCATCAAAACAAGAATGATAAGATTGTTTCCCCAACAGACAGAGTATTGAAACAAAAAAAGAGATGGGGGGGACCACCCTCTTATGAGTCAGCTCATAAGGCTTTGTCTTGCTATGATCTCATTCTTGGTCTATACCAGTGATTCTCAAACTGGGGTCCCCAGATGTTCTTGGACTGCAATTCCCAGAAGCCTTCACCACTTGCTGTGCTGGCCAGGATTTCTGGGCATTTCAGTCCAAGAACATCTAGGAACTCGAGGTTGAGAACCACTGTTCTGCACTACAGTGCTACAAACTGAAAATGCTTTGTTCCTCCCCATCATAGCTGTAAAGTCCCACCACCATTACATTCTGCATCTTCAGAACCTTCTAATGGTGTAGTAGGCAGGAAGTAGGTGTGTCTCCTCTTCTCATTGTATAGACAGGGCGCATCTTTCAGTACATGTCCCAGGGCTGCCCTAATACTTATCCCACTCAGTTATCTTCTGGTTTCCTTGTGAGCAGCATTATTAAGCTATGTTGGTTTTTTTGTGTACAAGTCTCCCTATAGAGTTCCAGATTTGCTTTTACTTCTGTTTATTTTCCCGTTGATTACTTCCTGTTTCAATAAACTATGCCTCAGTGGCATAATAGGACACCATTAAAAAAAATACCAAAGACTTCACTTCAGAGAGTGAGGACCTGCCGAAGGACACAATGCTGACAAGTAGTACAACAGCCAAGCGTATCATAATCACTCGGCTGGATTTTCTGGATTCTGCAAGCATGTAAAAGGAAAAAAACTCACCAAACTTGGCAAAGCCTTAAGGCACATAATAGAATGAAAATTCTAAAGTACTGGCTCTTCCTGCAGTCTTGAGAAACTTGCTTGATTCCGGTCCTCTCTAGCCTAAAAGCAGAGCACCTATCAAGAATAAGGATGTGCCCTTCAGCAGAGAAGGTGTTTTAGTATACTAGCTGATGATGCTCTTGAATATTGGTAGGCCAAGGTTGATGTCTACCTTATTAGATGTCTACCTTATTCTATCCAGCAAAATATAGATGCATAGTCCAAAAGCCTTTTTACTCACCATGCCCCTATAACCTAGCTAGAAAGACATAGCAAACAAAGCAAAGTGTGCTGCTTAAAGCACTCTCTGGGTGGTTTAGAATTTTTTTTAATTATACAGGCTATACATTGCCCCCACCCACATCACGAACTGGGTGTTCATTTTACTGATGTAAGGCTGAGTCAAACTTGAGCCAACTGTCAGAATCTGTTGATATAGAATGCTGACCGTGAGCAAAGTTTGGCTGCAATACTACAGCTTAACCACTGCACCATGAGGCTCTATAGGATGAAATCCTCTTGTACAATGGGGATGGCAAGTCACTGCTGATTAAAGGCTTCCTTGATTTCAGGGTACACATGACTTGGCTTCATTGTGAATGATTCATGTGTAGCCCAAAAATCACCTTGCATCAGCAGCAATTTGCTCCTGATGATGACATCATTACTATTATGAGTGCAGAGTTGCGCAGCAGGATTTCAGCCCTCATCCTTATAGAAAAAGTATCAGAGTACTAAGATCAGGTATCTAGCTTGCAGGAATGTTGGCACTCTCTAACAATACTCTTTGAGCATTCCTTGCTTAAGGCAACTTAGGCATTAGGCATTTTCTAGCAAAGTCAAAAGCCATCTCTATGGATAGGTGGGGTATTCACCATCCCCATATTTCACTGTTCCATTGCATTCCACACTAATTTGGAAAATGGATTTTCTCATATCACAAATATTTATCCTTATTTTGGAAGTTAGGCTTTCTTGGAAACAAGGAAGCCATTGAACCTATTCTCATACATAGACATCAACAGTCATTCTGGTGTCATGACTTCACTGTTTTGAAGAAAACTTGAGCCCATTCCATCTGTGATTTCAACATTTTTATCCACCCCAGCAATCTGGGGAAGATGCTCTCTCATAGACCTTCTTCCACTGTCCTCTAAATCTCTTTGGTACGTCTCCGTATGTTTCTATCACAGCTCTTAACAGAACATCCTTGATCTTTGCTTTTGCAGGCATCAGATTTTGCCATATGATCTATTAGCGGTACTAAAAGTTTCCTTGAAGTATCTGATAGTCATATAAAGCCATTCTTGCCCATCAAAATGTTTCACTCTTATATTTTGCGCTGTGAAGTTTACGCCCATGCTAAACATGCCCTCTGACTTATAAAAAGCATTATTAAGCATAAAGAACTCATCCATCCATTAGAACATCTTATATGGGTGACTTAGCTTACCCTTCTCTGAAGAAGACTGGTTCCACTGTTAGCAATTTATGCTGGAGATGGGCATGAATGAGGGGTTCAGAGGTTTGTGAATGGCACCACAGGTGTAACACATTCCCTTTCCATGCCCCCCCGAACCTGGACCCCCCACTCACCAGCCAGTGCACACCCCTCTCCTCCTCCGCTTGGGCTGTTCAGCTAGTCCCAGACAGGAGCAAGGGCTTCCCTCCTCCATCTCCTTGGCTGATTGCCCATTCAGACAAGAAGGCAGGATAGGCAAACCCATGCTCCTGGCAGGGACGGGTTGAGCAGCCAAAGAGGGAGAGGAGAGGAGCATGTGCCAGCTGGTGGGTAGGTCATCGGCTGGGGAGGTACAAATCTCTGAAGCAAGGTCTGTGCCCATCTCTATGCACATTATTTTCCTGCATCTTTCCCTCTTTTCTTACTATATACTTCTGGAAAATAAATAGCTAATGTTTCTGTCTCTAAGAGCTCTGTTGAAACTTTTCCCACAGCCGAAGAAATGGTATGCTGTTGCAGTTGGTTCTTTCTGGATCACAGAGAACAAATACCTGTCATTTGGTATTTAGCTTCCACCTGTATGGTCTTAACACAGACACTAGAGTGTATCATAAAATGTCCACATACCACCCTGATAGATGGAATATCTTAATTTCCTGAAAATAGTTGTATTTTTTTTTCTGTTGCAGGGCGTGGGGAAATAACAAAAAGACTTGTGCAATGATGTTGCTAAAATTCAGAGTTAATTAGTTTTAGAAACAAATGATTCCATCTCGTAAATATTAAATGGGTCATCAAGCAGAACTCAGAACATCTCTCTAAATTTTAAGGCTCAGATTACGATGAGGACAGCGTAGCATCTGACCTCAGGGCCAGTCCTAAGATAAACAACATTCTCAAGAAGAAACACCTTTAGTTCTTTTTTTCCCTTTTGGTCAGTTTTTCAATGCTACCAACTTGTGCTGATGGTGTTATTTATAGTGTGTGTAGTTATTTTTAATGTAGTCTGGGGGGAAAAAGAAAAGTATTTGAGAGGTTATTGATTGCAACTGGCACCTAAACACCCTTGAGCTTTTCTTTTCTTTCAGAGACAAAGAATTTGGGGGGAGGAAATAGTTTAAGATGCTAAGTGATTTTTTATGCCATATTCAGTGCAGACACTCTACTCATAAAACCTAGAGCCATCTGGCTTAGCTCGCCCTTTAGCTTAATTCCCAGGTCAAATCTTCAGGGTTTCACCAATGAGGGCAGCCTTGTAAGCTCTCAGTAATACAGCCATCCCTGTCTGTTGAAACATACAGTTGGATATGAAGAGAGGATCCACTGCAGAGACCTTTGTTATATCTTTCAACACTGATACGACAACATCTAAGTTACAAGAATCAGTTTAGGGTGGAAAAAAAGACTGAAAAAGATTGTACCAGTTTGAAGAATCATTAT